GGGGATTCTGCCCCTCTGCTCCGCTCTGGTGAGGCCCCCCCTGGAGCCCTGCGTCCGGCTCTGGGGTCCTCAGCACAGGAAGGACATGGACCTGTTGGAGGGGGTCCAGAGGAGGCCACAAAAATGATCAGAGGGATGGAGCACCTCTGCTATGAGGAAAGGCTGAAAGAGCTGGGGCTGTTCAGCCTGGAGAAGAGAAGGCTGCAGGGACACCTTATTGCGGCCTTTGAATACTTAAAGGGGGCTTATAAGAAAGATGAGGACAGACTTTTTAGTAGGGCCTGTAGTGATAGGACAAGGGGTCATGGTTTTAAACTAAAGGAGGGTAGATTTAGACTAGATAGAAGGAAGAAATTTTTTACAGTGAGGGTGGTGAAACACAAACAGGGTGCCCAGAGAGGTGGTAGATGTCCCATCCCTGGAAACAACAACTCAACCTGCATTGGACAGGGGTCTGAACAACCTGATCTAACTGAAGATGTCCCTGCTCATTGAAGGGGGTTGGACTAGATGACCTTTAAAGGTCCCTTCCAACCCAAACTGTTCTACGATTCTACGATTAAATGACTGCCCGCAGTTCACAATTTATCTCCAGACTACATGGGCTATCCCCAGAGACAGTTATTTCTTAAAGCAGTCTCTGGAAAGCAACTCTCGGAGAGACTTCTGCATTTGTGCTCAACGGTCTGGGTGACTGAACCAGGTCAACTAAGAACACTATTTCCCCACCTCTCCCATATTCTTAAGCAATGTAACTATGCTGCAACTACATCTAGGAAGAGACCAAGCATAGCAAATAAGCACAAACTGACAAGTATCAGTGTGTTCTCTCTTCCCGTGACTCCAGAGCATTCGCATCATCAGCAACACAGTGCAAATCCACATATGTCAAGGGCGACATTTCTAGAAGCAAAAAAATTTCGTAGGCTCTATGGCACTTTTCTAACAAAAAACTGATATGAAGATGCTGACAAATAAATATAAAAGCAGTGGATAGAACCTCTCTATACTTGAGATAAATAACAAACACTTTTAAACATTTTTGCATCATCTCACCAAGTAGCATGACAGTGGTTCAGTACTTAGAAATCAACTGGTTTAATGCCTAGAAAAAAGAACAGTTGTTACTAGAGATCATTGCCATTACCATTTCAGAACTACGTTTGCAGGAATGAAAGCTTCAGAAGGATTTGGGGTCATCTGCGCCTGAGTAACAGCAAACGAGGAAGCAAAGTTATAGAAGTTATCCAACATCTTCTGAGTGAACTGGAATAAAAAAGAGACGTAAGTACGGTTTTTATAATGTGAATTTTTGTGCAAAAGTTTAACAGATGTACAAGTCCTATGTGAAGTAAAATTAGCATTAAAACACAATGGGAAAGTGGATATAGTAGGTCCAGCGATGTCCATTTTAAATTGATCAAAAGATCCTAACTCAGTTTTGCCCTCGGATCCATCCAGCATCCACAAATCATTTTCAGAATCTTCACTTGCCCTCTCCCTGCCCAATTTCATCCAACCGGATAAACAGCTTTGGGAAGAACATTTTCTTCTTGTGACAAAGAAGTGCCGCAGTGACAAGAGCTGTCCCTCTCCCCCAAATTAAACCATCAGAAGAACCGTAGACCAGGTCAAAGCTGCCATTCCAGCTCACAGCAAAACCCTAGTTGTTAAACCAGCTGAAAAGTTGGCAGTCTGCCTCGTTATGTTACAACTCGTCGTCAGACTCCAGCGACTGGGAAACTTCCCTCAGCTTTCAGCACAGAAGGGCTGCTATCCTGGCATCCTCTGCCACAGGATCTTGCTGGGGAAAACATGAAAAAGATGCATAGGAAACTCCTAAACTGTAGGAACAAGTAAGTAAAAGAGTGAAAAAGAGGCCAAGAAGTAGGGAGCCCTGTGTGCAGAGGATGAAGCTGTAGGACATTCACAGCCAGTCTACACTACATAAGCCTGCGGTACCTCCTTCTCTCCCCTGTTCTTTTTATTGTTAAAAAAAAAAAAAAAGTACGTGTTGTTTTGGTGGGAGAACAAACTATTTTCATAGACAGTGAAATAATGGAAGAAAACAGAGCCTGGGGCAATAAATGCACACTCTTGTGCTTCCCTCCAACCTGCTAACCTGCTCTGACAAAAGGAGTGGAAGACCTGATGTCCTAGAACCCAGGAGCCTACCCTCAGTCTCACCCCATTCACATGCAGAACTCTCCGGTTTTGTCCCACTTTTTTTCCGTATAACTTTTTAATAATATAACTATATATATAGAAAAAGTATTTCTACAATCATAAAGCTTCATAAAATTTACTAAAAATGTAGTGGGAGAGCAACCCCTTAACTTAGAGTAGCAACAGATGATTTTGCCTTTAAAAAAAATACTTTTATTGCTATAATGTGGCAGTTCCAAAGAGATGATGTCAAGTATTAAGTAAAATCTCTTAGTCATTCACAAACATGCTCCCAGTCACATCCCCTTCCTCTGCTATCTACTCCCTCAAAGGTTTCCTTCAACTATGACTTTATACATTTTCTCTATAGGAGTAACTATTACTTCAGCCTTTGGCTCAACTGCATTCCTGGAAAGCAATATACAATTTCCGTTAAGATGCTACTCTTTTTTAATAGAAAAACCCACCTAACATTTGTAAAAAAGTTACACAATCACGAGGTGGTTTTTTTTTTTTCTTTAAATTCTATTGCCAGAAAAATCTACCAGCCACCTTGCAAATGACCTCAAGTGGCACATTACTGCCTCATGACTTAGCTACTGCTATTATAAAAATTGGCGGCATCAGAAGTATTATTTAGATGTCATTTGCCCCTAACAACTCCAGAAAAGCTCAATTAACCGTACTACACAAAAATAGCTGTCAGTCAGCTCCTAGTCATGATACCTTTCTCCAAGAGACCGTACCTATTTGGAGCTATTATGTGTATAAGCTGCCAAAGGACATCAGCTTCATTATCGGGATTACTGTTCAATTACCAGTCTACTTCAGCAAGTGTCTGTAAGGAAAGCGAGCAAGAAAAAAAAAAGCCTCAAGAAAAGCTTCACCAACTTCTGAAATGGTAGAAGACAATGCCAGAGCCATCAGTCTTAGGGAAATCAAGACCTGCCATGCAGATCTAGCTTGCCTTGAATTGCTGTCAACTAACAGCAATTGCAGTCAACTAACTGCCAGTGCTGGTGGAGGATTGCCAGAGGTTCAAACTAACAGGCTGCGTAAAAAATGGCAAATGTTGCAGCCCAAGGCCTGGTCCACAGGGAAAGAATTGGAAAAAAAATTAAAACCCCACATCTTTCTGTGGAAGAGGGCATGATTCTGTAGTTCTGCAGAACTACATCAGAAGGATTTCTCAAGGGTCAGTGGCACAGCTGGATATCTATCTGCATCCATGCCCATGTCTGCCTTGACTTTTGAGTAATTTTTGACCATCCTTGCAAATCTATGCACTGGAGTTCCAGCACCTACAGGTCACTAAATATCCACTGTCTCTTACATGCATTTAGTCATAGCTGCTCCTATAAGGAGCTATCATAAGTATTTTGACACAAGTGAGTCTATTGGCCTGATTCCACTGAGCACGCAAAATCCAATCCTTTACAAGAGACAGAGTTTTCCAGTGTAAGAAAAAGTCATTTCAAAATATCAAGCATCCAGTCAAATGATTTGACAACGATTAGGTTGGTTACAATCCTAGAGCCACCCATAGTAGCTTTTTTTTTTTTTTTAATTAGTTCTTCAGAGGCTCAATTTTTAAGACTTTTACAATACACAGAATTTCTGAAAACAGAATGTCCAAGCTACCTCCGTGAACGAATCTACTGATGACACAGCAGCACTTGCAACAGGAGTCTGCTGGGCCAGGTTCTCCAGCAGTTCCACTGAGATGCCAATCTGGGCCACCGCTGGTGTCTGAGGGAGGATCATGGCACCAAAGGGATGTTGACTTCCCTTCCCTGAAAGCACCACAAACAGCACACGTTAGATTTGGCACTCATGTAAAGACTGTGTTACTTAAATTGCTGTGTTTCTTCTGTAGAAGGTATTCCTCAGCTCCCACCAGAGAGATCTCCCTACCTCAGAAATACAGAAAAATCACACAGTCCAAGCACAGGTACAAGTACGCACAAGCACAACAGATGGAACAGTGTAATAGGTACATTTAGAAAACACAGCAGATCTTAAGGAAATGTTGAAAAAAGGAAAAATATCATTTTAAAGCTCCCTATGGAGTAAATGGATTCAACAGGAAATACAATCTGTCCGTGAAAGACAGCAGAACCTTCCTTTGTGGGAAGCAACCCTTTAATTCACATTGGAACCACTGCAGATAGATAGGAAACATGCAGCACTGCTGCACAGTTGTTTGATCCACTCATTCAAACCAGGTGCTCGTGAACCTGTTTGTGCACTGAAAAACAGAGAACACTACTACAAGAAGCTCTCCCTGTGGAGGCTGGGCAGCCCCACGTCTCATTTGAACTGCTCAAAACCACCAACAGCAGCAAAGGTCAAAGGAACAGCCACGGAACAGAAAGGCCTCTGACTTTGCAAGAGGCACAAAAGGAAACAATCAACTGGGCAGAAAAACACCCCCCACTTGCATACCACTCATACAGGCATCATCCCAGCCCCCTGCCATCACTGCTGACCTTTCTCAACTGAGTATTAACCAGTACTTTCAGTCCCAGCTTCAGCTAGGGTCTCTGCAAACCATGACAGGCACCTAGAGTCACTTAAATCGTGCACTCCTCTTTGTCAGCATCTGCAAAGGAAAATACAGGGAGAAGGTCTGGGGGACCACAATGCTATTAGTAAACAAATACTAATACTCCACCTAAGTTTGGGTGAACACAATAGACGAGTACCCTCTTAACACAGAAGTGATGTTTCAGTAGCACTCTCTGGCCTCTTACTAGCAGGAGAAAGCAAAGCTAATTAAGAGCTGTCCTACAGACCAGTCAACACTATCTTGAGCTGCAAGAAAGGCTAACTGAAATCTAAAGCACCATCTGACTTAGTTCCATGGTTAAAAACTCAGCCAGCAAAACCAGCACAAGTTTGAGAAGTCAGACTGAAGCTCAAAGACTGAAGATCTCAGACACTTGCCCATTCTTCTGCAGAGACACAAGGCATCACCATACGGAAGCCAACATCCAACCCCTATGGAAAGCACATTCAAAAACTCGGTACCCTTTTCAACTGAAGCCAGGTGTCACTCCTCACTCCAGGTCCTATAACTGCAATATAGTGCTACATTTATGAGTAAAGCACTTGCTATTAAAATGTTACTCTAACACAAGGCCAATAAGAAGAAAGTTCATCTCCTGAAGTGGTGTTTAGAAGCGTTTTTGAGAAATGCCATTGCTGTATGATCTCAACCTTTACTGTAGATAGATGCTTGCTTGATAAAGGTAAAATTCATTAAAGTGTTAAGAAAGAAAGAGAAAGGCTATTAGAAACCAAATATCACACAAGCTCACTATTAAAAATCCCAATAGCAACAGAGCTGGTAGAAGTTTTACATCTTGTAACACCTTCACCTGAGAAGCTGACATTTACAATAAAAATATAACATCCTCAAGATCCATCAGAATATATCACTACTTTAGAAAGATGCTCATGATCTAAATAATAAAATACATCCATTCTGTCACTTTGCATGCACTCCCATGGAACCACTCTCTTGGAAAGATGTCTGCCTAAAAGGGTGAGAGAAAAGCATCCCCTGCCATCCTTGCACCAACCGAAATACACTGCACGTTTTCAATGCTTGGCTCTTGCAATTAACTTTCCAAACCTTACAAATACACCAAATACAGTATGTTAATCGGTACTGAAAGACAAGCTCAGTTTTTTGCATTCAGACCCTACACTCTCCAACGTATATCTCATAGCAGAGCAACTGCAATATTTTTTCCACCCCTTTCTTTCCCTTCATTGAACGTTTGATTCAAGACAGTGAGCCCTCATTACCTTTCAGCCCAACCATGTCAAAAACCTTACCCATGTGTAGGCCTCAAATGCAGACACAGTATCAGAGGGTATACTTGTAAGTGGAAAACAGCATCACACCCATCGTTTCATGCTGCACAGCAGAAAAAGTCTGTAATGGGAAAGGCTATCCTGTAACTTTTATCCCACTTGTCAACATCCTTCCAGTAAGGGTGCAAAATCCCAGCTCAAGGTTTGTTTTCTATTTCTACCACACCTTCAGGCACAACTGAAAAATAAAAACCTTAAAATTCCAAGGCAAGGAGTATTTCTAAGCCCCTTCTTTATGCAGAACCACATTAAATTCATCTACTCTCAATCAGTAAAACAACACAGAGTCAGAGAAGAATATAGAATTGCATGCACTAGTGTTACCAGCCACGGATGATCTTAAAGGTCTTTTCCAACCTAAACAATTCTATGATTCTTCTTCTCCAGATCTGAAAGTACGGACAAGGCAGTAACAGTGACCACTGCCAGCAACGGCATTCTTCTAAAGCTCGATTCTCTAGGCCCCAACTGCTTCCCTGCAGCATACCTTCCTGCTTTGAAAAGGAAGGCCAGCAAAACATTTTATCCACAACGTTTTCCAAAGCAAGCTAAACACAACACCCGTGGCAAAAACCAGCAGAACCTATGTCCTGCCTTCCAAGAGCAGTCGTGCTCTGGAAGGGCATCAGGAGCCCAACCAAAAAACTTGAACTCTTCAGTCACACCACGAGAACTGACCACAATTCCTTGTCATCAGTCACGAGGACAGGCTGGATGGACGGGCCAGGGCCAACTGCATGAGATTCAACAAGGCTCAGTGCCGGGTCCTGCACTTGGGTCACAACAACCCCATGCAACGCTACAGGCTGGGGGAGGAGTGGCTGGAGAGCTGCCTGGAGGAAAAGGACCTGGGGGCGTTGGTTGACAGCCTCCTGAACATGAGCCAGCAGTGTGCTCAGGTGGCCAAGAGGGCCAATGGCATCCTGGCTTGTATCAGGAATAGTGTGGCCAGCAGGACCAGGGAGGTGATAGTGCCCCTGTACTCGGCACTGGTGAGGCCGCACCTCGAGTACTGTGTTCAGTTTTGGGCCCCTCACTACAAGAAGGACATCGAGGTGCTGGAGCATGTCCAGAGGAGGGCAACAAAGCTGGCGAAGGGTCTGGAGCACAAGTCTTATGAGGAGTGGCTGAGGGAGCTGGGCTTGTTTAGTCTGGAGAAGATGAGGCTGAGGGGAGACCTTATTGCTCTCTACAACTACCTGAAAGGAGGTTGTAGCAAGGTGGGGGTCGGTCTCTCCTCCCTAGTAACGAGTGACAGGATGAGAGGAAATGGCCTCAAGCTGCACCAGTTTTTTGGGGGGAGGGAGTTGATTTAATAGGCTTATTTCCAGCAAACATGAAAACTGTACCTGAAGAGAAAAAAAAAAAAATTCAGATTTAATGCTTATTGCAAAGCCAGTCACCATCTTACGTGATAGTTAATCCTCAAAAAATCCCACGTAATAACGCTGGACACTTCGGGCCTTTGACTCCTAGACTTATAATCAGTATCAGTAGATGCAAGACTTCATTCACTAAACCAAGGAGTCAAAATAACAACAACAACAAAAAAAAACAAACACAAAAAAACCCACAAACCACACGAGCACTTACATTTCTAGCCTCACAGCATAGCTTTTAAGAATGGTTAAAAGTTAGCAAGAAGAACAACAGAAAAGCCTGCTTTTAGATATCTAAAGTTTGTAGCAAGACTACTAAGAAATACAATTCAACAAACTTTTCCTGATTATAGAGGAGCTCTAAAGGAATCTTTTAGAGGGTACTATGACATTCCTGTGAGACACCTTCAAGACCCAATCTGGAAATGTCTTATTCCAAGAAGGTTACCTGAGTTTAAATAGCACCTGTAGTCAAGGAAAAAAAGTGTCCAGGTTCATAATTTAGTCTCTACTCCACAAATCACTGTCACGTTGAAGACTGTATTGCACAAAAGAAATTTACCCTTCAGTTGATGTATTGCGACAACGTTCGGGTATCCCGCTTGGAAACATTGCAATGTTCACCTGCATCGGCTTTCCTAAGCGAGAACGGGACAAGAAGGAGAGAAGCAAACAAAAAAACCTGGGGCAATGCCATTTTACGTGACCCTTGTAGTCCAGAAGTCTAATACTACATCCCCAGATACTGTATTTAACAGCCAAACCAGTCTTTACAACAATGTGCAACGTGGGCAAGTTACACACATTGCAAAACCTGCACAGTTCCAGGGCATTTCAGACACTAAACACAAATGTAAGGTAAGAGCTACAAATGATACATTTAACCTTTCCCAAAGTCTGTGTAATAAAACACCATGCTACTTCAGCTGGCCACTCACGTCCACATAAGAAACATGCTGGCTCTCTTCACCACCCAGCAAGAAACTCTGCTACAACCACTGCTTCACAGGGAGCTGGCAAACAGGGACACAGTTTTGTTCCTCTCAAGAAAGGATTAAACCCAAAACACAGATTTCAACAGTCAGCAATGTCTCTCTGATTCCAGCTAGAATTACAGCTCTCTCTAATCGCTCTCTGGTCTCCCTTTCTACAGCCTCATAGTCTTCTCCATCATACAATTGTTTATGGTTGTGCAAACTGAGGCTGCGTAGCTCATACTGACTCCACAGTTAGAGATAAGCTGTAGACAACAATGGGAACGAACGGCGGGGCTCTCTTGCCTTACGTCATTGCAAATGCATTCAACCATGTCACAGTTCTTCCTTGAGAGCAGCCCTTGGAAATTATGGCTAATCACGCAAAAAGCATCTGAAAACGTGTTTTCCTACAAAGCTGTCTGAAAGCATGCATAACACAGTAAGTCTTTCAAGCATAAGAAACATACCGCAAAAGCTCGCAAAAGAACTGCCAAAACACTTTACTGTTTCACTAACAACACAGCTGTGGAACAGACAAAAACACACCCCCCCAGCCTTCCTGTGGCTGTTCTCTCTTCTGAGGAAAGCCCAAATTTTTGAGGAACATATATGATCAGAATTCATTTTGCTCTGCACCTTGAGAGCCCTTATCTCATGTCATACTGCTATCCAGGACTGATTCAAAAGAAAGCATGCCACGTTATGAATTAATATATTTTATCACAGCAACCTCAACACTTACCTAAGTACAGATTCAAGTTAAGGCTGCAGACTACACTGAAGCCTATAAAAGATGTGTATTAGTTTATCACCATAACACTTTAAGCTACTTGACTGACCTATCTGTCCCTTTAATAAGACAAAAGTGTGCCATTGGGGTGCTTCATCATTTTTATAACATGCATGGCAAAATCCCCATATATTTAGGAAAACAGACCCACACCTACTTCAGGTAGCACCAGAATTCTCTGGCTCCCATATGAGTCAGACTTCTCTGACTCGGGTCTATATCAAAAACACTAAAACATGCGGAAAGCTGCTTTCCAACGACTATACCCTCTACCGGACAACTATATAGTGCAACCACAACTGAACTGGAAGCAGCTAGCTGTCCGAAATCACTGTGTCAGACTTTACTCACTACAAAACCTGCCTCTGAGCTGCAAAGAATACAACTGCTTAACAGTGGAAGCTGAAAGAAGATGCTGTGGGCATGCCTAGACAAGTGCCTAAAACCCACGCTATGGAAGTTACTGGATTATTCCTCCTCAGGTTCTCTATGCAGAAGCACTGGAACACACGCCAAGCCTGCTGAAAGGAATTGCCAGATCAACTAGATCAACACCACATACAAGAGAAGACGAGAGAAATTTCTCTAGGAACATTAATGTACAGACAGACTTCCATAAAGCTGACAGACTGCTTCTAGCACCACATCTACTAGGGACTACCTGAAAACACACAGAGGTCTGCCTTTTCAAGCAGCTTTTTCTTCAAAAACTCCTTCAAACACCTATCCCCTTACGCATGCAGGGACACATCCGTTTCACTGACTGCTATGTTTTACCAGTCTTACCAGATTTCAGACCAGAAATTTTGAAGATGGCACTTGGCTTCTCATTAGTGACAAACCCCAGCAGCTGCCACACTGCCATCCCACTCTGGTCCGGATAACAAAAATAGACAGATCCTCCCATTCCTTCTGGAAATGGTATCGTTCCCAGCATGAAGACCACTACATGGTTGATGTTTTCATAGTCCGGTAAATCAAATACAAATTTGTCTTCAGCCACTTGCTGGGGAGCTGCTTGTACCTAAAGAGAACAAAACCTTTATTAGTATTACTATGTTTTTCATCTTTGACTGTAACTGTGAATTTCCTTTCACAGAAATACACCTAAAGTGGAACATAACAAAACGCGAGGAACGTACTAACCTAAACAGCAAATAGCCAGATAAAAGTCAAACACAGCAGAAGAACAACTGCAAAAAAATATTACTAAAAAGGCACAACACTCTTGTTCTACCTGCACTGAACGCATATCCCACCCGGGACTACAGGATCAGAATACCTTCGCTCCCCTTGTGCGTAGGAGGAAAATAGAGTGCAGAAGAGGTTGCCAAGTCTATAAGCAGTGGCTGTTGACCACCTGGCTGGCACAACCCCAGGATCATGGAAACCTGTTCACATAGGAAATACAATAGACCTTGAGACAGGCAGTAGAAGGACGGCTAAATGCCAGAGCAAAAGATACCCTCCTCTTCACCCGAGACGCCACATCCTTGCGGCCAACGCACGATCTAGCCTTAAAAAGCTTCTTTGACGCTCCCAGCTCGTCTCTGAGGAGCCCGAGCCTCCCCACGAACAGAGGGGATGGCGACAGCCTCCCGGCGGGCCCCCGGGGACGGGGACTGCCTCTACGACGCAGCTGCCTGGGGGACGCGGGGCAGGAGCCAGCCGAGGCGCCGGGCAGGCGTGACGGGGACGGCAGGGGCCCCCCTGCCTGGCGCCAGCCCCGGGCGCAGCCCCGCGAA